CCTAAGGGTGAATGGTCAACTGGCCCCTTCAGGCTGGGATCTCTAAGTCATTAAAGAATGCCTCCCATAATTGTCCATCTCAAGGATAAGAGGCTGGAGCGTTTATTCACTGGCTCTCATTCCCTGTTGGTTGACCCTAGGGGTTTGACCTAGCCTCCCTGCAGCACAGCTACTGTGCTCGCTCCAGGGCTGGGCAAGCTCCCGCAGCTGTGGAGAATCTTGAGGCAGACAGTAAAATGACGCCTGATGTGTGCTTGAGATCTGGGAAACCAGCCACCGTAAGGGCACTAGAACCGGGGGCACCAGGGATGTTTTCTATACCAAACCTCATCCCTAAACACTAATCTCAGTTCTTGCAGAGCTGATGGATACAAGGTGATACCAAGTTGGGACTGAGAGTACCATAGGCAGCCCGTGTGAGTCCTGGACAAGTTTCCTAATGTCTAAAATTGAAGGTGTTCATATCTACCATCCACAGTCATTGTAAGTATTTGCTGAGCTAACATGTGAAAATGCCCAGCACAGTTCCTAGCACATTACAGGTGCTTGATAAATATAAGTCCTCTGCCATCCATCTCCAGTAAATGCCATAGGGCTGTCCTAGCCACCAAGGCCAAGGGCGTAAGGGTCCTTGCAACTCTTCACTTGTGCTTTCCTTTTGGTTTTTGAGGCTGACTACAGTTTGAGCAGCAATGAACAGCAACTTCAACTGGAAACCCAGCTCAGCAACTGCTGAGATAAACAGAAAAGAACACAGGAAAGCAAATAGGCAAGGAAAAGGAATGAAAGTGTAATGCAATTTTATAGAAAAGGAGACTTGTTCTTCTGGGACACTGGGTAGAAATCTTAATGAGTTACCTTAATGAGTGTACCTAAATGCTCTTTGGTACAAAGTCACAAAAGGGAAGAGAAAGAAAGGAGGAAGGGAAGAGGGAGGGATAGAGGGAGGGTAAAAAGAATAAATAAAAGGAAGGAAGGAAATTATCCATTCATCTCTGCAGAGACTCTGCTGAGCATTAGGCAATATGACTTGGGAAAAATTGTAACTGAAACTTTTCTAAAAACCTTTCAGAGAGGTGTTTTTCCTCAGAAAAGCATCATCAGGGCTGTTCAATATCCAAGGCAAGTCTTTCATATTACTAGACATGAAACATTATTGTATCTGAAACTGGCTGGAGGCCATTTAGAAATTCAATAATTATTCAACCCAAGGGGCTTTCCAAATGGTGAAGCAGCATCTTGGGAGGAAATTAATATTGAGCAATGTATCCAGTCTAATTGGAATCTTGAGGAAATGGGGTCCTGAGTAGGTAAAACAGCTGGAAGCTAAAGTAGGTCAGGACAAGTGATCCCCTCATTTTTGTGTCTTGCCTTAATTATGATGTGAAAAGGAGAATCTTGTTTATTTTTTATGCCAGGAGGGCAAGGTGGTGGTTTGGAGACACTCCTTGTTCATTAACAGCCACCTTCAGTCAGACAAGAAAACAGCTTACTTCTTTCATTTCTTTCCACAGATATTCAAGGATAGTTGAGAAGGCACAAAAGACTTTTTTTGTTGTTTCTTTTGCCAAACATGGCAGTTCGGAGTTAAGGAGTGACTTATTAGCCATGGTCGTGAACACTGATCACAAAGATGGTAAAGCTGTGTTTTTTTTTCCCCTTCAAGAGAAAGTCCATGTGAGAGCCTCCTTATTTTCCTATTTGGCGGGGAGGGGGCACAATCAAGTTGGAAGCATCCGTGACATACCAGCCTCTTCTGTCTTCCTTTGCACCTGTCTTCTGTCTTCTGTATGCATCACTTTGAGAACACAACTTCTTAAGCCCATTGAGCACACAGTGGTCTGATTCCCCATCTTAGAAAGACTCACTCTTAAATTGATTTGGGGGATCTATGCTGTCTTTACATGAGACTACCTTAAAGTTCAATTCTCCTGGCAACTAACTCTCCTTAGCTCATATCTACTGACCTATTTTAGGACAATTCCTAGAGGACAATTCTTCTCCATTATTCAGAGTCTGAGGCAGACCACAAGTGTACTATACCTGGTGTGTGTCAGGCCCAGAACAAAAACACTGTGCTTCTCTCTGGGGAAGAGTCACTTATTCAAGATTCAAATGATTTAAAAAACAAACAAAACCTGAAAAAACACCTTCTGGTAGGGAGATCTGAAGGGACACTGGATCACTATGAAAAACACAGAAAAAAAAAAAGAAAGAAAAATACGAAGAGATAGCTCCAAAGAGCAGGAAGAAAGATCACAATCTCATTTAAATAAAACTAATTAAAAAAATAACTTGGGAAAGAACATTCACTCTGCCCCTATAGAACGGAAGGCAGGCAATTGTCCATAATGATTCCAAAGCGTACCATCTTGTTTAGCTGCACTGGGACAATTTTGAACTGTGTCACAGGTTTTCCCAGCCCTCAAACCCTGTGACTGTTATATGACTCAGTTCCACTTCCACAAAATGGGATTGATAGAATGTGGATTTCAGAGGAAATGATTATAGACATTTACAATAGTCATTATAAACGGTAAGAATTATGCTAGCAGGAAACATGCTTTAACACGTGGGTTCTTGTCATGACTTGAAATTGCTTAAAAAGTTTTACATATATATGTACTAGATATGTATAAAAGATTTATATAAATATCTTTATACCATATATATTCACATATTATACATATCTTTTGTACACACACACATCTCTTCATTATTTCAGTGCCTGGGGGACACATGCACATTCATTTCCAGGACCCAGAGATGCCCCATACAACATTGAGACAATCTCTCCAGGATTATGATCAGTCAGGGTTTTGAAAGCAAAATCAAAGTAGGTAAGGAGGAAGTGTGCCTTATTGTTCAAGATTCGTTAAGTAGACAGTTAGTTGTGTTAACTCTCATTGCATGGTATGAAAAGAAGGACTCTGGGAACGTCTGCTCTTTGTTAGTAAGCTGCCTGTAATAATTATGGCTAGCACACAATGCCAATGGGTAATCAGACTACCAAATTAATAGGAATAACCTCTCACAAATCTAATTTGAGTGAGCACTGCTCTCCAGAGCAACATGATTGTGAGTCTATGTTTGTCAATGACTGCGCAAACATGTTTTCTCCACTTTACTCTTTTGCAATGTGTTATGATGTTACTATGGTGATGCTCTTATGATATCCTTTTGCTCTCATGGTGCCCTCTCAGTGGAAGCTCTAATGAGATGGTTTGGCAACAGAATCTTTCTGGGATTTTTCCCCATACACCATTGAAGACCAGCATGGCTTTCCTCTTACAGGAAGTGCATAAAGCATGAACTGAAAATGGTAGAAAGTAATTTGCACTGACTTGGGTAAAGAATGTGAATGTTATTAATACTATACCAAACTACCCAGAAATATTCTTTTTGCTCCCAATTCTAGGAGATGACCCAAGGGACAGTAAGGCTTCTAGATTGAGTGTGGAATGTCCAACACAGCTGAGGGCTAGGGTCTCTTGCCCTCCTAAGGGAGGAGCTATGTGAGGGTGATGTGAGAACTATGTGCTGGAAAGAAAAAGAGATGGAGTTTCCGGAGTGCATACTATGTGACAAGCACTATGCTAAGCACATTACATGCATCCCTTGACTGATTATTTATTTACCTTATATTATTTTATATTTACCCCATTTTATATTATTTACCCCATTTTATAAAATGACACAGCTAATATGGGTCTTTCAGACTCTGAAGCCCATTCTGTTAATTACTATGCCACCTTGTCTCCCTAAAATGCATCTTTCATCTTTTTAAAAAAGATTTTATTTATTTATTTGAGCTAGAGAGAGAGTGAGAACAAGAGCACGAGCTGGGAGACAGAGGGAGAAGGAGAAGCAGGCTCTCCCATTGAGCAGGGAGCCTGACTCGGGACTCAATCCCAGGATCCTGGGGTCATGATCTGAGCCGAAGGCAGACACTTAACCTACTAAGCCACTCAGGTGCCCCAAAATGCATCTTTCAGATGATCCTGTCTTCTCTCTTTTCCCTGGAAGAGCTTGGAAGTGAGAATCATAAGTGCTTCCATCCTATTCCCTTAGACTTATTCCATAACTACCTGGAGAGATTTATCTGAAACAGCTTGAAATCTGACAACTTTATCTTGGACAGGCACACCCTTGGGGCCTTTTCCACTGCTATATGGGGACACACAGCAGCAATGGTCATGAGACCTAAAATCAATGTCCCAATCTTATTAGTTGTGTAATCTGGGGCAAGTCAATTCTTCCAGCCTTAGTTATTTCACCTAGGAAATGGAAATGGCAAAAATTATACTTGTCCAAAGGTCAGGAATAACCTAGTTGCTTTCATTATCTATTTTTGCTCACTTTAGAACCTCTTCGGTCTATGATATATGAGGCTGTGCTCTGGACCTAGAATGACAGATCATGATTGCCCTTTTATAATGTGGCAAACAGAGCAGCCTCTCAAAACATTTTATCAGCAAGAAGTTCACTTTTGTCTTCTACTTACTGCCTTTTGAGTTACAGCTTTAGACATTGCTTTGGCAGCTCCTTCAGGTAAACTTTCTCCATTAATAACTTAATGAAAATCATTACATTTCCTTTGATCTCTAGCCTAGCATTCAGGATCCCAGCCCTTATCATCTAACTGCACAGAGTCCCCATACCAACTAGATTAATCTTGGTTTCCAGGACACATCTAGCATTTTTCTACCTATCTTTACAGGTTTTCTGTACCTGGAACAACTTTTCTAACTCCAACGATGTCCACCATCTTTATTTATTTATTTGTTTTGATTTTTTTTAAAGATTTTATTTATTGGGGCACCTGGGTGGTTCAGCCGGTTAAGCATCTGCCCTCGGCTCAGGTCATGATCCCAGGGTCCTGGGATTGAGCCCCATATCGGGCTCCCTGCTCAGCGGGGGTCTGCTTCTTCCTCTCCCTCCGTGCTCTCTTTGTCCCAAATAAATAAATAAAATCTTAAAAAAAAAACAAAACTCAAAAATATATTTTAAAAATATTTTATTTATTTATTTGAGAGAGGAGCAGAGAGAGTGAGAGAGAGAATACAAGCAGGGGAAGGGGCAGAGGGAGAAGCAGACTCCCCGCTGAGCAGGGAGCCCGATGCAGGGCTTGATCCCAGGACTCGGGGATCATGACTTGAGCTGAAGACAGACGCTTAACTGACTGAGCCACCCAGGCACCCCAATGTCACCATCTTTAAGTCCAGGTCAAATGCCACATCCTCCTTGAAGCTCTCCACAGTCAACTCCATCCAGAATTAATCTTGTCTCCATGCTCCACAGAAATGTATTGGTCTCTTCTATACCTTCCCCTCCCCCACAGTCTCCCTTGTATTATTGCTAGTCGTATTTCTCTAACAGGTTATAAGCATCTTGAGGGCAAGATCCCAGGCAGCCTATTGCTGCATGATAGTGGCAGGGGAGTGTGAGGGTTCCAGCTATGGGTTTAAGCTACACTGCCAAGTCTAAAACCTGCCTACATGATGTACTAGCTGCATGTCCTTGGGTAAGTTCCCTTATCTTTCTGGTCTATAATTTCTTCACCTGTATTTCCTGCATAGGGACCTTGTGAGAATTAAATGAGACATTCCATGTAAAGTACTTAGCAAGGACCTGATGTATTGTAGGTGCTTAACAGATGTTAAATATTTGCAATACCTATAATGAGTTTTCTTCATTAATTAAGTCAACACATATTTGAGGGCCATATTAGCGTGTTCAGGTGTATAACAAAATACCATAGACTGGATGGCTTAAACAACACACATTTATTTCTCATAGTTTTGGGGACTGGGAAGTCCAAGATCATGATGCTGGCCAGTGTGGTTCCTGGTGAGAGTCTTGTTGGCTGACAGATGGCCTCCTTCTCACCCATGTCCTCACATGGCAGAGAGACAATTGCTCTTTTATTGTTTCTCCTTATAAAGTCACTAATCTCATCATGAGGGCACTACCCTTAACACTTCATCTAACCAAAAGGCCAGAAGCAATAACCCTAACTACCTCTTAAAGGCTCCATCTCCAAATACCATCACATTGAGGGTTAGGGGTTCCACATATGCATTTGGGGGCAGAGGGAGGTGGGATATAATTCAGTCCATAGTGAGCATCTATACATTTATTGAGCTAGTCCGAGGATAGAGTAATAGACAAAATAGATAAAAACCCATGTCATGTAGAATTTACATTCTAGTAGAAAGAGTGAGACTGTGGAAGACAGAATAACGGCCCCCCCAAAGGTCCACATGTTTATCTCCATAACCTGTGATCATGTTACATTACATGGCAAGTAGGAATTGGAGTTGCAGACAGAATTAAGGTCACTAATCAGCTGACTTTAACATAGGGAGATAATCCTGGATTATTTGGATGGGCTCGGTGTAATCCCAAGGGATTTATAAGTGGAAGAGGGAAGTGGAAGAGGAAAGCAGAAAGGTCAGAATGAAGAAAATGAGATCTTGACTGATGTTGCTGGTTTGGGAGATGGAGAAATGGAACCACAGGCTGAGGTATGTGGGCAGCCTCTAGAAATCAGTAAAAACAGGGAAACTGATTCTCTCTCCTCTATAGACTTCAAAGAGGAACACAGCCCTGCTGACACCAATGAGACCTGTGTTGAACATCTAACCCCCAGAATATAATAAATTTTATTGTTGTACCTCATTAAGTTTGTGGTACTTTGTTATGGCAGCCATAGAAAATTAACATGGGCAAAAAACAGAAAACGAATACAGGGATATTTTGTGTGTGTGTATATATACACACACACTATATATATATGTATGTATTGTATATCAGATGGCAATAAATTCTATGAAGAAATATACTATATATATATATATATAGCATATCAGATGACAATATATACATTGTATATCAGATGGCAATAAATTCTGAGAAAATTGGAGCAGGGACTATGGATAGGGAGTGTTAGAAGGGGAAGGTGATAATAATTTTAAGCAGAGTTGAAAGAGGAGCCCAAGGAGGATCTGGAGTAGCAAGTTGACAAAATATGATACCACTTTTACTGGAATCACATTGGCTGCTTTACTGAGAATAGCATATATGGGGGGGTGGCAAGGTGGAAGCAGGGGGGCCAGATAGAAAGTTATTGCAGTAATACTAGCTACAGGTATTTGTGGCTTGGACTGAGGTGGTGGAAAGAGGTCTATCAGCATTTGGATATCTTTTGAAGGTAAAACCAATGAGATTTGCTGATAGATTAGAAGTGGAACAGAAAAGGAGAAAAGTCAAAGATGATCCTGTGCTTTGGGGCTTTAAGCCAATGAAAGGTTGGAGAGGCCATTCACCAGGATGGGGAAGACAGCAGTGGAGCAAATTTGAGGGAGAGGATGGGTATATGTTGGGTGGACCCTTGGTACCCGAATCCTTCCCTTCCCCTAGTCTTTCCCTTCAGATTGCTTTTCCCTACAAGCCAAGAACCGTACACCATAAGGAATAATAGCCAGTGGGAAACAGTGTCTTGTTCAATTCATGATGGAGCCCGTTTGCTGTATAACACCTATGCAGAGCTCTGATAAAAGCTGGACTGGAGAATGAGGGGTAGCCCAGGACGCTACAGATGGAATGTTTGTGTCCTCCCCAAATTCATCTGCTGAATCCTATACCCCAGTGTGATGGTTTTGGAAGGTGGAGCTTCTGGGAGGTGATCAGTCATGAGGGCCGATGCCTTATGAACAGGATTAGTGTCTTTATAAAAGAGGCCTGAGAAAGCTCCCTGCCCGCTTCTGCTTTGTGAGGACACAGTGAAAAGCTGCCTATGAGAAAGCAAGCCCTCACCAAACACTGAACCTGCTGGCATCTTGATCTTAGACTTCTCAGCCTCCAGAACTATGAGAAATACCTTTCTGTTGTGGGGAAGCCCCCAAGCTTTGTTGTAGTAGCCCCACCAGACAAAGACACAGGAGGACCAAGGAGGGCTTGAATCTAAATGCTGGCCCTTCGGAGCACATTGTGAAGGTGGAGCCACCCTTCTCCAGCCCATGAGGTCATGGGCAGAGAAGCTGGGCCAGAGAGCTGGCAAGAGCTGGGGCACCATTCACCACACTGACCCCGCTCCCTGATAGAAATTATCCAGGAAATATTGATGGCTCCCTCCCAATCACAAGATTTACCATTCCTCCCCAGGGAAGAAGCCACTAAGGGGCTGGAAGTGGGATGAAAGTCCTCTCTTCCCACAGGCAAAGCTGAAATGCAAGGAGAGAGGGAGAGATGGTTCCATTAATGTTTATTGATTAGAATTGAATGCCCTCTTCACCTGCACATGCTCTGCTCATCTGTAGCCTGGCGAGTGAGTCCTATCTCCAAGGGCAGAAGTTGGATCTCAGTGTTCTGCTTCAGTTTCTGAGCAGAAACCTTATTTTTCCTCTCTTGACAGGACAGAAAAGATCCTGCCATGGGAATTGTTAGGCAGACAACAGACTTCCCAATTAGGGACTAGCGAGTTAAAGGGAAGGACCATTAAAGGTAAACTGGGGTAATTCAGAGATACTTCCATCCTAGTTGTTCTGGATGATGACCAACGTTCTGATTGCCATGAGGTCAAAAGGACAAAAGGAGCTCTAAAAGCAGTGACTAGGGTTTGAGGCAGTTTGGAAATGAAATTGCATTACTCAATAATGTAGAGAATCATTGCTAAATGGCTGTATATTTGTATCTGACTATTTTCCCCCCTCATGTTTGAGTTTCATATTCACAATCTCCACTATCTTTGCATTGCCCAAGTGACATAGAATTAAATGAAATCATTTAATCCAGTGTTAAGATCATTAGACCATGACTATTTGGCTATTTATTAAATATTTCTTACAATATCAGAAATGACTTGATATTGCAGAAGATGTGTGTGGTTTTAGAGGTTCTCATTTAGTAGTGGTGGAAACCACTTTTGGGCGGAGGATGTTAACCCCTCACGTGTCTTAATTTCTACTTAATATATTTCCATACTTCCCGGTGTCTGGGTGGCTCAGTGGGTTGAGCGTCTGCCTCCGGATCAAGCCGTTCGTTGGGCTCCCTGCTCAGCAGGGAGTCCGCTTCTCCCTCTGCCCTTCCCACCCATCCACCCCGCCCCTGCTTATACACACACGCTTTCTCAAATAAATAAATAAATAAAATCTTTGGGAAAAAATATATATCCATACCTCTTTAAAGTGTGTAGTCAGAATTGTAAAATGCAATCCTTAGTCATTTGGTACTCTTCAATCGATATGTATTAAGGTGCTATAGAGGAATAAAAAGATGTGGCAGACATTATTTTCCTTAGGAAGCTTACATCTAGTGACTCCTACTATTAAGAATACTTTCTATGTTTAGTTTACCCTTAAAACCATCCAGCAAGGTAGATATGCTCTCCCAATTTACAGAGGAAAATACTGGTTTAGAGGTCATAGACCAAAATCACACAGTAGAAAGTCGCAGGGTGTGCCTGGGCTTCCAAGGCTATGCTCATTCCACTACTCCCAGGTTGTTCTAGTAAATCCGCCAGAATCTCAGTATTTTCCAATGATTAATGCTCCCCTCTGTCAGTATTTTCCAATGTAGTCTTTTTCAACAAGTCAGAAAATCTTGGAGAAGGTGATTTCCCCCTCTCTAGGTGCCTTGGCTGTGTGTGGACCCAGAACGCGTCCTTTCGGAGGCGTTATCTTCCTCTCCGCCCTCGTGAGAGGGTCCGGGTCTTTTCCGCAGGGCGCGGAGCCCGCGTAGACCGCCCATTCCCCACCTCTGCAGGAGGCAAGAGGAGTCTCCAGGCGACCGGACTTCTCTTCCCCACGGAGCTGCCATTCCGCGGGCGGCCACCAGGGGTCCCCGCTCGGCGCCCCGCGAGATAGCCGCGCGCGGGGCGCGTGTGGGGGCCACTTCGGAGCGGCGGCGGCTGGAGCTCGAGCCCGGCTCTCGCTCGCCCGCGCGCTTCTGCAGACCGCGCGTGCTGGCCCCTCGCCGCTCGCCCCGCGCCCGCCGCGTGGATCCGCAACCGTCGCGCGTCCGGCCCCCGGCTCACCCTCTTCCTCTGGCGCCGGCTGCGGCTGACGCGGCGCAGGAGCCGACAGGGCCGCGGGCTGAAGGTAAAAGCCCACGGTGAGTGAGAGCCCGCGCGGGGCGAGGCCAAGTGGCGCCGCCCGGCAGCTGCTCGCCCCCAGTGGCGCCCGGGCGGGCCCGGCTGCGGGCGCACCTGGGGGCGGGCGCCGCGGGGGGTGGGATGGGTGGGGGGCGGGCGGTGGCTCCGGGGCTGGGATCCGCGTCAGACCCCTGCCCGCGCCCCGGCTCAGGCCGGCTCCTCGCGCGCCCTTCTCGGGCGGGAACGAGAGTCCAGTGCCCAGCCCGGGCTCCGGGGCCTTGACTGTGAAAGCTCTACCGGTGAAATGCATCTCCCCGCGGGGCCCAAGTGCGCCCCGGAGCCGTCCCGAATCGCGGGTGACTGCCGCGTGCGGGCCGGGCTGCGGGTGGCGGGAAGACAAACTTTGCGAAAGGGCGCCTGGGCGGGGGCACGGCGCTCAGGGCGGGTGCGGAGGCTCGACGCGGGCTCCGCTGGGGAAGCCCGCTCCGCCGGCCCGCTCGCCCCGGGCACCGCCGGAGCTTCGGGGAGGGAGCGCGTGGGTGAAGCGCGGACAAAGCCCCGCTGGCCCCGTGGGCCAACAACTGTCAAACATCTGGAAGCCAGCCCCTCCGTCCCCCTGCGCCGAGGAAGGTGAAACTCCCTCAACTTCCCTTTGATTGTCCTCCCGGCCTTGGGACGCCTCCCGGAATGGAAAAGGGCCGACCTCTGGTGCCTGGCAAGTGAGTACCGGAGACCCCCAAGCCCCTCAGGCTCCCCCTTCACCCACCTTCCTGACCGCCTCCCAGAGGTCCTCCCCGCAGGGACCACGCCACAGAGCCCGTGGAGATTGTGACGAATGGCCTTTTGTTTCTCCGCGTCTCCCCTCTTGTTTGCCTTTGCAACATCTGGCGGGGCTCGCGGAGAGAAGGACGCCCCCGGGGTCCTCCCCGCACTCCCCCCGCCCCCCGCCGGCCACACGGCCGGCTCCCGCCCGGGAGCCCCGCGGGGGAAGGCGAGGAGCCCGACCCCGGCGCGGCCGCCGCGCCCAGGCCCCGCGGTTGGAGGGCGGAGGCAAAGTCGCTGCTTCCCCGCCTCCTCGGCTGCCTGGGGCCCGGGGCGCGTTTCTCAGATCTGATCCCAGACGCGCCGCGAAGGGCGCAGCCGGAGAGGAGTGCTGCTCTCCCGAGAGTGCAAGCGACCTTCCGCGCTCCGCCAGGGTGCTTTGGGTGCCTCCAGTGGATTTAAGTCTCCGCCCGAGGGCCTGTGGCTGGGCCGCTTCCAGGGCCGCGGGACGGGATCAGGGCACTTTTGTAGGCAGAAAGCCGAGGTTCTGGGCTCTGCGAGTTTCCAAGGGCTGGGGAACAGGCGAGAGTGGAAAAGGAAGTAACCCAAGAAGCCTCAAGACTTTGCCTAGAGTAGTGGTGAGGTGGCTCCCTCCAGATTGAACGTGCAATTTTGACTTGGGGTAGGGCTCGCTCCAAGTTTAAATCCCGGGTCTCCTGTCAGCATTTAGAAAAAGCAAATCGGGGGATACCGCATAGACGCCGTGGGGGCAGAGTTCCCGCCAACAAGTCCTTGTGAACCAGTGGCTTGGGACTGCCTCCGAGTTCCCCCTGGGGGTGCGCCTGTTAGATTACAGGTGACCCTGTTTCTGTGCCTTCCCTCACAAGTTAGATGCTTACACATCGTGCTTCTTCTTAGTGAGTGTGGATTTAAAAAGAAGAAGAAGGGCAAAAGCAAAGTAGCTACTCTGAGAGGGCAGGGTTCCCGTCCGGTGCCCCGACAGTCGTTTTGCCTGTGAGGGGAGGCCAAGCCTGTGCACCTGTTAGAACCTCTACATGCTCAGCTTTACTATAGTGGTATTACCAGCTTTTTCTGATGGAGGCCCAGTCGTCCCTATTCCAAGGAAGCACAGTTAAACACTCTTTTTACCGTTTACCTTTTGATCCCTTCCCCAAGCCTGGGGAGGGAGGAAGCAAGCTTCCATCGGAATGCTTGTGACCTAGGTGCCCACTCAAGCATTTTAAGTGGGAGCTCTGCACAGTTCTGCACAGTTCTAGGAGTTTTCCCTTTACCTGACTAACAGAAATTTGACTTCCATTCAATAAATAGAAAAACAAAGACTACTAAGGAAGGTGACACAGAGCACTTTGGCAATTTCTGGATTATCACCAGTGGCACCAACAAAAGAAAAAAAGCAAAATCTTTGAGGCACTGGAAGGCACTTTACAAACGTCTCATTATGAAAATGATGGCTAAGGAAGGATTCCTTTGAAATTTAGCAGCAGGAGAGAAGCAACAAGGCAGACCTGGGTTGCTCAAGAAGTGCCCAAAGGAATCATTAACCAAGTGAAAGGGCAGTGTTTGTCCCAGTCTACCCCCAGTACGGAAAACAGGGTAATTGTAGTGGAAGATGAGCTTGTACAGTTTCTTTAATTTTAGAATTAACCTCCCTTCCCCGGAATCATCGTAGAAAAAATAGAAAATACAGAGAGGTAAAAATGAAGACAAAAGGAAGGGGGTGTATTATAAATAAGCCTCCAGTGAACGCTCTTATCCAATGATTTCCTTGGATAAATTTCTGGAGTTTAGTATAGCTAGGTTGAAGGAGTTAATGCATTTTTTAGGATATTTAAGATTGCCATCTCGTCCTCTAGGGAAGTTATGCCACTTTACCTGCTGTCTAACAATATACAAGAGGATTTTTTTCTTCCTGTATCCCGCACCCCACTCACATTCTATATTATAATCACTCTTTTTCATTTCTGCCAGATGGATAGGAGGTAGGCTCTTGTCTTCTTTTGTATTTCTTTAACCATAAATGAGATTAAACATTTTTCCTGTTGTCTTTAGTATTTCTTCCTTTATGATGATGCCAGTTTATGTCCTTAACCTATTTTTTTTCAGTGGGAATGTTTTCCTTTTTCTGACTAGAGGTGCTCTTAATAAAAGCATGCTGTTCTGACTTCTGACCCTGCCCTTGTAATCGGACAATCTTTATTGACTCAAAGTGCCAATTCTCTTCCCTCTAGCATAGCAAACATTTGGCAAGACTGCAGCCATAAATTACTGAAAGAACTGACATGATCTCGGTAGAGTTATTAGGGAGACTATGCAAAAGCATTATTAGAGAAATTCTTGGAAAATACCAAGTGTATACTTTCTGCTTAGTAGCTTGCATGCCCCAACATCTTTACAGTTTATGGTGCCTTTTTTTTTTTTTTTTCATTTAGAACAACTCTTGATGAGCTGTTTTTACTAAATGGATTTTACTAACTCATTTTATTTGCATTCGTTCCACTGATAACCAGGATACCATAATCCACAACTTTTAACTTTTGCTGGAAATTTGCCTCAGTTTTATAAGACTCTGGCTTTACCATTTGAGTCCTGTACTGAATGAACTTTGAATCTAAACCGTTCAGGAGCTTGCTTTTGAAACAGTATAGCAGGAGAGGTTTCCCAAGGGTGGAACCAGGTACTTTTGTGCATTTGCATTTGTGTAGCCACAAATCTCTATGTTAATTCTTGCTTGAAGGTACAGGATTCTGAAATGGGGAGAAGGAGAGAGAGGAAGAAAAAAAATTAATTTCAGCTGGATGATGGATTAATACAGATGAAGGATCACACAAGACAATTTAAGTAAATAATCTAGGTAATCTGGATACAAATAATTTCTAAAAAGATAAACTATATTAAAGTGTCATATATTATTATAACTAGTTTACTTAACAGACAGAAAGTGGTCTTCTATTTGGGAAAATCCAATGTGAAAATCAATGTGAAATATGACTGCAGGTACTTCATCTCAGGCATTTAAAAAATACGGAAAAGGGGCTCAGATGGTTAAGTGTCTGCCTTCCGCTCAGGTGGTGATCCCAGGGTCCTGGGATCAAGCCCTGCTTCTGGCTCCTGGCTCAGCAGGAAGCCTGCTTCTCCCTCTCCCTCTACTTCTCCCCCTGCTCATGATCTCTCTCTCTCTGTATCTCTGTGTCTCAAATGAATAAATAAAATCTTTGAAAAGGAAAAAAAAAATAATAAAAAATACGGAAAAACAATGAAAGGCAGATATATTTTTCTGCAGCATTTTCCATGCCGTTGGATGTAGAAATCAAATAGTATGCAGTACGAATGAACTGTGTTTTCTACCTTAGAATCATTGTCTCTCAAAGGTTTGAGTGAGAACTTAATGGCCAATCTAATTCAACCATCTGACATCATTGAGTATCTTCATTCTCTTAAAAAAATAAAATTCCATCCTACAAACTATATCATTTCAAACAAACCAAACTGAGAAGCAAAGAGGACAAAAATTTCACTTTTTTTTTTTTTTTTTTTTGAGTGGGGAGAGAAAGGGAGGGTTTTAACTCTATGAAAGCTTGTATAAGCTCCTTTAACATGCTCAACTTTTATAGAATAAACAGCCTTGGCAGCATGACAGTTAAATCACCGAGGTGTTTCATTTTGCAACATTCTCTCATTCATATCCTCTACATTGGCTTGGTGAAGTTCAAAGGCGGTAGAGCAAAACAAGTACAAAATAGCAAAAGGGAAGAGGAAGAAAAGAGTCGAACATGGAGAGGATCTTACTCCTTTAAAACTATCTTCAGGGGCGCCTGGGTGGCTCATTTGGTTCAGCGACTGCCTTCAGCTCAGGTCAAGATCCCGGAGTCCTGGGATCGAGTCCCACATCGGGCTCCCTGCTCTGCGGGGAGCCTGCTTCTCCCTCTCCCACTCCCCCTGCTTGTGTTCCCTCTCTCGCTGTGTCTCTCTCTGTCAAATAAATAAAATCTTTAAAAATAAATAAATAAATAAACAAATAAAATAAAATAAAATAAAACTATCTTCAGAACTTTCTAACAAGAATGTTGGTACCCAGAGGACGATTGGCATCACCTCTTAGAAATGTGGATGTAGCTGATGTCCCAAGGCCAACTTTAGAGACAGTAAACATTACCTAAATCACTGCCACTCCAACAGTGGGCAGGCTTATAGGATAGCCCAATAATTCTTAAAAAGAAGAGAAGGAGAAGGAGATGTTGGAGAGAAAAGGAATTTTAATTCTAAAAATATACCTTATTTCTTCCTGAGTAGTACTGCAAATTTCTGAAAGTAGTAGAAACATCTTCTGATTTCCACTCGGATGATTTCCCAGGCACAGTGACTGTATTTCTTTTCTTTCAGGAAGTTGTCTATCCTATTGAAATATCTCCTCAGTTCTAGGTTGCTCAGCTGGGAGACCATAGCTCCTGACCAGTTCATTCCGTTCTCTTCCATCTCTTTGGAGTCTTCCTTTTCTTTCTCCTCTTCCTCCAAGCATTGTTCCAAGTACTGCAGCTGCTGATAGAGTCCAATTTGGATTTGTTTCAGATAGTCCTTTTCCCAAGTGGATTTGAAGGTGTGCTGACTGAAGATGTTGAAGGCCTGTATGGACATTTCATAGAAGGCCTCCTTGATGTACCTTTTCACAGGCTGGGTATGTGATAGGATCTCTTGGGGCAACTCAAAAGCTGTGGTTTCTTGTAGGCACTCTACGGGAAATGAACTGCTCGTACTGCTCAGAAGCCTCAGATTTTGCCAGGTGACTTTCATCAGATGAAAATGCAGCAAGTTACAGTCCAGAGAGAGGATGCCAGTGATGAGCAGACCCACAAGGCATGCAGGCCACAAACACGTCCTAAACAAGTCAGGCTTAGTGCTCATTTTTTTTTCCCCAAGCTAAAAAATCCACCAGACTCAAGGTTGACTGATGTTTTAGGTCTTAAGTACTCCTTCATGTGCCTTTATACACCTGAATAATCTTCAGTGGGGAGGAGTTTTCTCATTCCTCATTTTATGTTTCTCAGGGTTTCAGCCCCTTTCCTTTGCCTCTGAGGTTTGTTTTGACTTTGGGTGACTACACTGACTTTGGAAATGCTAATCTTTTTCTTTAAAGTGAGCAAAGCTTTACCATTGCATTACCTTAGTTGTCTGGATGACTCATCCCAGTACTATAGGATTGTCATAACAAGATTGATAACAGTATTTCAGAAAGAATTGAAAGTTCTGACTCTATACCACTTATTCAACACTATTAC